TCCCCCCCCGCCCCCCCACCCAGTCGCACAGCCTATTCCTACAACACCGATGGGCAGCTGTACGGCCAGTCCAGCGGAGGGACCTACTTCGACACGCAGGCTGGGGCCGGTACGCCAGTCACAGCTGTCGTGTCGTCCGCCGCCGGCAGCGGGGGCGGGGGTGGCGGGCCCCCTCACGGCATGGTGGGCATCACGATGGATGTGGGCGGCAGTCACATAATCTCCAGCGGGGGCAGCGCCTACCTCATCCACGGGAGCGGCATGGAGGGCAGCCGGCATCACGTCTCCCACTCCGCCCGAGCCTCGTCCGCCATGGTACGCCCCAATGGGAGGCGCTGGGGCCTCCGGGACCCCGCAGCCGGCGCCGAGAGGCAGCCGTAACCGTCACACTGCCCCTGGTGGTGTGTTTGAGCATCTGCTTCATTGTGGGTCAGGACGGGGGCGAGTCACGCGAGCTAACGGTGGTGCGCTTGACGAGCATGAGGACACCCACAGGCTCCGGGCTGCACAGAGCTGTGTGATGTCAGGTCAAGTTATCAAGCCAGACATGCTGGAAATGAGCAGAGCGTCACTGCAGACTTTGATGTTATTGAACATGTATCATATTATTCAGTAATATTTTCATTAGCTCCTGTCCAGCTGAGTAATTAGTATCCAGCACAGTTCCCAAAATCCTCTGCTTACGATCAGTTTGCTCCACACAGTTCTGTGGGTGACTGGTAGAGGGCGCTATGGTTACGATGCCCGGCGGTGTCTTCACCTGCCTCGCCACTGGCGAGCCTCTCCCACCTCGTGCCACCGCAGCATGTGGCGCTCACAAGCCCCCCCTGGAGCCTTGGGAGCTGGGGACCCTGTTTCTTCCGCTTGCATCTATCCTGCCCCCTTAACCACACGGATACTTCCTCAGCACATGACACCCTCCCGATCACCTGGTTGGGGCTGTAGGATTCAAAGCATCCGCACGGGGCTGAAATATGGGCACATGCTGGAAACGATGCATGCCAACGATAACCAGGAAGGACACTGGCATTGCAGCATGGCGCCGGCTGGGGGGGGGGGTTTTATGCGATGTGCTTCCTTATTACTCTGGTGATTTTTCACTGTTTCCTCCCCCCCCACCCCCTTTGTCAGAGGTTGCTGGGAGGGGTGATAATTTTATTGGCGGGACTGGAAATTGACAGCTTACTCCCATTGACTGCTGTGTGGCCCCGTGCCCCGCTTGTAGTCCACATTTGCATACATTTCACTGTCAGACAAGGAGGGCCTTCAGTCTGCAGCTTAACCCTATGAGTCCTCTCATTTGCATGCTTTTTGTTAGCGGTAATGAATTCGGCTGCAACACTGACTCGAGTGTAATGGGAACGCAGAGATCTGGCTGCAGCTAAGTCTCATTTCCCTTCTGTTGTGTTTTGTTCTTCCTCTCCTCTTTTTCTTTCCCTCTTTTATATATCTGCATGCTTCTTCCTCTTCTTTTTTTTTTTTTTCTTTAGCTTGAAATGGCGATTGAAAACCTCCAAAAGTCTGAGGGGATAGCAACTCACAAAAGCACCCTGCTCAACAGCCATGTAAGTCAACCAGTCAACCAGGAGCGCGCTTGGAGACATGGGTCCCTTCCTCTGCTTGCCTGCCTGCCTGCTTGCCTGCCTGCTCCCCCCCCCGCCCCACCACGACCGAGCCAAACCCATCGCCTCTCGGCCTTCTCAGGCCAGATCAGTCGATCCTTGATCCTCAGACCTGATCCCTGGGCCTCTTGTGTGTTTTGTGGTGTCTGTGTGGCCGTGTGCGCGCACGAAGCCTCCCGCTGGCGCCCCCCCCCGCCTCCCTGTCCACCTGCACCCTCCAACACCCTTCTCCTTGGATAACATCCTCAGAGTTCGGTTAGGGCCAGTCGGCGGGCCAGTCGGCGTGCCAGTGGGTACCCAGACGCTCAGGAATGGGCGCGACCGACATGGAGCCTTTTGATTTCCTTTTTGCTTTCCGTCTTCACACCCGGAATATAATTCACGCA